ATTAGACAGGCCAAAATCGACCTGTTCTCAGCAGAGCTCCTGAGAGAGGAGCTGTAAAAATATATTGAGATGGTTTTTGGTACTTATATATATAATATATATTCTTAAGGACATCAAGACTTAAAATAAAACTCCAGAAATGTGTAAAATATGTGACCTTTAAAATTGGAAACATTACTAGTCCAGCAGTCAATATATCACTGAAATTTCAAGTGTTATTATATACGAAATTAAAATATTCCATGACAGTTCAGGTTAATTACAATCAGCTATGGTATATCATACTCCACCATTGCGTTGTGCCCCTAAGATAAAACTTTAAAGGCTCAGAACAAAGTTCAGTTTCAATACAACAGATGAACAAGCAATTACTACAGAATTCAGAAACATGAGACAAACAACATTAGACACATTTTCTGATAAACTAACAACACTTTTTCATAGCTCCTATTAGCCATAAACAGAAATAGTTTAGCACAGTTTACACAGTTTAGCAACTCTTTCATGTTTATGAACATTAAAATATGGCTATTAAATATTATCAAACATAGTTACATTCATAAACATCTAAACTAATATTCTTATATAAATTATATAAATGTTCGTAATTGTTAAGTGCTATTAAAATTACTAAATGAATTACTACTTCACATTCATAACTGGGGTCTTCAATTTACAACTGACGGCTTTGCTCATGAATAATAAATATGTGTCATAAATGCTAAGTTATTCATAAATATTAAATCACTGATGCTGTACCACGCCATGTGTGCATGACCCAATTAATTGTCACACATACAATCATTTTATATCGTTACGCCAAAAACGGTTCGTGGCGCAAGACGCTAAAAACAGCGATACGCCGCCGAACGTGCAAAAAACCCGGATGGAAATGAACGATCGCAACGAATCGCGATGTAAAATGTAATTTGCGTACAGTTTATTGTAGATGTATTTGTGAGTTTACATGTTTGTATGTGCCTTACTTGAGGATGATAATAATACGGTGTTGTTGATACTCCTGCGGTCGTTCATTCTGGTCCAAGACAAAACTAGCGTGAGCTAAAGGATTGAAGTCGCTATAGCGAGCAGAGCCCTCTGTTGGTCAAAACAAACACCTGCGGGCTGTTTTGAAGTTACCGTAAAAACTGGGATATTTGTGGGAACGGCCAACAAAAACCTTAGTCCTAGTCACTCACATTAGACGCCATATTGAATTTAATGCGGATGAAAACAATGGCACTGTATAAAAGTTCTAGATCAAAACTATCAAAATTGTTTTATGGATTTTTTTTGGCTACAGGTTTTTTGGAATGACGTTTCATGAGCTGAGCAATCCCCTTGCGAAAATTAACCATGGGTTATTAATAAAAGTGTATTTTTTTGGCATATTGATTACATTTGTATAACCAACGTTTTACTACAAATAACATGGTCAAACTATGGTTTGTGTAGCAAAATTATGGTTAATTTGTGCCATTGTTTAACTGTAGTATCTATGGTTTTTTTGGTCTTATTTGTAGTAAAACCATGGTTAATGTTCGTTGTAAACAACAGTACAATCCATTGAATGCACTGACCTTGGTCTACCCTGATATACCAATACCAATGTCATACCAATTACCAAAAACACACTAGTAAATGCATAGTATGGTGCTAAAAGCACAGAAATGCCCTAGTGGATTGTAGTATTAAATATACTGAAATACTGTACAAGTGGCATTCTTTCTACTTTTTCTTTAGATGTATTTATATAAATGCATCATGGAAGCAACATTTGCATGAACAAATACCACACTGGAGTCTAAAAAAATGAAATCCATCTTGGGTTATTGAAGTCACAAATATTATCTTTATTCATCCATGTAAACACCCACGTTTCGCTCTCTTAGAGAGCCGTTCACTCACAACAGGCCTAAACAGTATTCTTCCAGTGACCTGTAATTATTTGATAGATTTTTAGAGCTAACTGCTATTTAGTAAGTTTGTAAGTGCTTCCTAAACAATCAGACATAATATGGGACTAATTTAAAGAGTAAGGCAGGCAGTTTTGGCAGCAGCGGAGGGGCTGGTTTGAATCAGCGGAGGCCCCTCGCTCAAGCTCTGGTTTTAAACTGTTCTTCGTGTTTGTGGAAGTGCCGCTGGCGGTTGACTGCGAGGCCTGAGAGGCAGCGCTGTTTAATTGGGCTTTGTTGTGGAAAGAAATGGGGGAGCACGGTTCACTGTAGTCACATCTGTACAACGGTGGCGACCGGAGCGAAGAGACTCACACATGCACGCAAAAACACGCACGACACAGGACGTCTAGTCATAAATTGTCACTAATGAAGCTATGCAGTCAGGTGAATTTATTTAATATTTATTGAATACGCACAGAGCGTGACTCAGTGTTATAACAGGATGATGCGTTTGCTTTGTGTGAGTGGATTTTAGCAGCGTATAATTATCACATTTACAAAACAGAGCTTCTGAATAATAAGATGTTGGATTTACACATGTTACTGTTTGGCCTGCAACTCTCTCATGTCCTGTGGTGACATGCTGTACTCTTATCTGAAACAAGCATTTTTAGCATTTATGAGCTCATTCTAATTGAGCTTACATGGAGTATTTGTACCCTTTGTACTTTACTATAGATACTATAGACCTTGTTACTGTTGCCTTTGGTTTGCGTTGGGTTTAAATTACACTTTTGATTTGATGGCACTGAAACGTTTGGATGAGAACAAAACTTGAACTGAATTGAGCTTAATTTAAGCTTAGTTTGAGCTTAGAATTTGTCTAATATTTGATGAAGTTTGCATCATTGATTCTGTTATTTTCTTGTAAAATACTGTGAAGCTGCTTTGAAACTATCTGTATTAAAGCACTATGAATAAATGTGACTTGACTTTACACCTCTGTGATCCTAACAAAGACACATAGAAAACTGTTGGGAAACAATCAATACATGGCAAAAAAATAAAATAAAAAAATAAAATTTAAAAAAGCATTTTTGTCGTTTTGTTTTTGCTTAAAACAAGAAAAACAATATCTGCCAAGTAAGAAAAAAACTCAATTCAAACACCCACTCACTCACTCACACACACTCACACTCACTCACTCACTCACACACACACACACACACACGCAATTCCAAACAAGACATGCACTACACTCATGCAGCACACAAGCACATACTCACAGCTTCTTGATGCATATCTTTTATGCAATGCACTACAAGAAAAATCATTCTCATAATCACTTTTGTCTTGTTTCATAGTAAAAATATCCTTAAAACAAGATGCATTTACTTCAGAATCAATAATTACAATATATTAAAACTTGTTTTTAGAGAATGCTTGTTCTTTTACATTTTTCTCCCATATATGATATATATGCAATGCACATGCAATTCCGAGATGTTCTCTCCAAACAAATCTTCATATTTCTAGAAAAAGTACAAAGGTGAAACATATAATTTAATTTTCTAAATATTCTTGACTCAAGATACATTTACCTGAGAAGCTAAATTATTTAAGTCTTGTTTTCTGAAAAAATGATAAAAATTGTTTTTGTTTTTGCTTAAAACAAGAAAAACAATATCTGCCAAGTAAGAAAAAAACTCAATTCAAAGGGAAAACAAGATTATTTTCCTTGTCCCATTGACTGTAATTATCGAGAAATGGACCATAAAAAGTGTGAACAGACCAAGCAAGAGACCGTAATGTCCTGAATTTCATCATCATGCATTAGAGAGATTCCATCCCCTTCCCTATATATTTGCTTGTTCTTTTACATTTTTCTCCCATATATGATATATATGCAATGCACATGCAATTCCGAGATGTTCTCTCCAAACAAATCTTCATATTTTACACAATTGTGCTTCTCAAGTAATGTCTTTTCTTCATTTATCCACTCTCATCAGTGGTTTCTCTCTCTCTTCTTGCCATGTCTCTTCACGCTCCCGAAAACCACAGCTCTCTTCAGAGTCTTTTCCAAACTAGCCTGGCATCTGTCTCCGCTTACTAACACCCCTCGTGTGAGTGTGTGTTCTTTCATATCAAAATATAGCCACAAAAAGCATTTAGACACTAATTTCACACTTTTAAAAAAGTTTTAATGTCTTTACATTAGATACAAAGTATCAAAGCAAAAAGAAGAAATACAAAACATTCAGGTTCTTGCATTACAATTATACACTCATAGACACAACAGAAAACAGTATGAATACAATTGAATACAAATAATTCAACAACATCTAAAAATATGTCATATAGTTACTAATTGCAATTTGCCTTAGGATTTGCTTTATATGCTATCACAGCACCTCCAAGTGGTCAAACATTAACATTGCAATAGTCATAGTGGTGCTGTTGTAGTAAAATGGTCTTTTTTGTATTTATATATACAAAATTAAGATTTGTTTTAACAAATTTAATGCAAAATAATTTTCTTGAAACTTGCAAACTTGAAATTTCACAAAATGCTGAAATTAAAATAGATAAATACAATCTAATTTCCAAGACTAAAACGGACTCCAAAAATGAAAGATATTTAATATTTAATTAAAAGTTTTATGATATTTATGTATAGCACCAGTATCCAACAGATCTGATGATGCAATGTTCCCTGGTGTCCATTTTTCAAAAAAA